ACGACCTTGGATTGAGTGGAGGAAATGGGACCATCTCTCTTTGAGGGGCCCCTAAGAGGCATTGAAAAAAATCTGGACATTAAGCTAAGTTGGGTCCCCCTTCCTCATCCTTCCCACCCTGAGATTTTATTAGAATCTTTGTAAGAAAAAAAAAAAAAAAGACAGAAAAAAAATTCTCCTTTTCAGCTAACCCCTATCCTTTTGGATCCCCCCAAATTCCACCAGCCGGGGAGAACCCTACTTGCCTCCTTCCAGGCAGATCTTTAGAAACTGGGGAGAGGGAGAGAAACTCAGCCCTTTCTCTGCTGGCCCAAGGGGCGGTACCAACTAGATGCAAGAGAAGGACGCCAAAGCACTTACGGAAAGAAGGAGTTCAATGTGCCAAATTCACCTCCTTCACCCCCCATTCAGGGGGCTCTGAGCCAACCTGCCCAGCCACCTTCTGCCCTGTCCCGGTCATGTCTACAAGGGCCAGGAGGCTTCACTGCAATAATCGTAGGAGCAGGGGGCAGAAGGCCGCGATTTTTCCGCCTTTAACCGCCCCATCACCTGCCTTGGGCTTGTAGGCGGGAATCCTGGGTATTCCAAATGGAGCTCGCTAGGAGTCAACTTCCAGATGGTTGGAACAATACCATGCCGCTTTTCTGAGTGGTCTTCTCCCTCTTGACCACCCAATCCCCCTACACCCCCTGCCCATCCCTCCACCCCACACCCTCCTCTCTTTCTGATTGGTGGCCGACTGTTCGGAATATGAGCGGACGTCCCCTGCGTTGATTCTTGCTGTTTCAAGACCAGGGTTAGAGGTTGTGTTAGACCGAGCAGTGGCTGAGGGATGAACAAGAGTGTGGCAATGACGATGGCAGTTTGGAGTCCAGGCTGCTGACCGTGTGCCTACCTGTCACGACAGCCAGGCAGGCTTTCGCTTGTGCCACTAGGCTGCCCCCCCCCCCCAACCCGGAACCGAGGCCGGCGGTCGCGAAAGCCTGAACTGGGCGTCAGATGGGGAGATGGGATCGCGATATGCACGTGGTCTGCGCCCTTGTGGAGTCACGACATCCAGCCCTGTATCGCGATCCCTGTCCCTTGCCGTCAGTGGTCTCGATGCCATGGTGGAGGGGTGCCTCTCTGTGGCGGCGCTCTGCTGTCGCGGGCGGGCTTGCTGGGTGGTAGGAGGGAAGTGGGTAGTCTCTGTGGAGGGGTGTGGGGTGAAGACTGCTAGTTTTCAATCCCTTCTCAGCCAGCCTAGGA